CGAAACGTTCTGTTGCTGCAGCTTTAACGGACAGAGACTTTAAGCTCAAGAGTAACGAATTTCTTAAACACGAAATAAAGTATACGAAATTATTTTTATGCCATAACAATAATTATCCAGCCAAATTCGTTAATAACATCATAAACCGTAGAATGAACCACTTTAAATCTATTTGTAACACTAAGAAGACTAATAACAAACCTTTCTTGATTCTGCCGCATGACAGAAACTTCAATGAAGAGTTACAAAGATCATTTAACACTAGATATAACATTAATGTTACATATAAATGCTCTAATAAACTTAACGCGTTATTAAATAATTCTGAGAACAATAGCTCTCTAGGCTGGGTTTACAAATTGCAACGCAACTGCGGAAGGTGTTACACAGGGGAGAGAGGGAACACCGTCACGCAAAGAACAAAGACCCACCTATCAAGCTGGAGAAAAGAGATGATGACGGAGAAACGTGAGCAACTGGTGGTAGCGAAGCAGCCAGGAAGAAAATAAGGTCCTGAGCCCAGCAAAGTCAAGGGACAATGCGAACAGACCTCCGCAATTGTGCAGCATGCGGCCAAGCAAGGACACGCCCCACCCGATGTCTCTGAGTACGGCGGCATCATCAAAGAAGACATTGTCTACACAGGCGTACGAAAAGGGCGTTAATCATCCGGTCCTGCGAAAACATCCACCGTGACAATGGATATGAACTCTGCGCAGATTGGATGAGCCACTGCTGCGGACGACCAATCACATTCAAGGAACTTCATCAGGATCAGCCTACCTTGAAGAAGTACCTGAGACACGGGCCGAAACGTCGGAATTGGTCAGTCACCAGAATGACCACAGTATCTTTTGCGTTGTGCATAAATAAACCGTCTTATGCTATTTTTTCAGCTGATCAGATATATGATTTTGTTTTGTGCACAATTTTGTGATATCCGAAATAGTAATATGGATAGGCATCGACGAATTGTCCCTGATTCAGTCCCTGTATTCAGAAAGCGTTGATTAGATGTAAATCGATTTCACTGAAAGGACGTTCAATTTAAGCATGCTCTTCAGTGGTTAACTGGAAGTTAACGAATGTTGGAAAACATACAGAATGGTTCTAACACTGCCAGGCATACCGGATGTCGAAACTGTTATATTTTATTAATCCAAATGCATACCTCCAATTGGATAAATCTGTTAGCATAAATAAGCTGTTATCAATCAGCACAAACAGGACCATAATAAGTATGATCCCACGGTTACTCTCACAACATCTACCGAACTAGCGGGAAGCACAGGTTCTGCGACGTAGTTCCGTGGATGACGTAGCTTAAACGAACATGCTCGTGACATGCAGGGCTGCTGGGTTTTAGAACGTTTAGGGTCGTGATCCCTGCCGTCGTACGCATGCAACGAAAAGGACTTCCCATTAGTTGCTGAAAGGATGAATACTGCCGCCAGATGGCGCCTAGCGGGTGGTTCGTCGCCTTTGCCGGTCAAGGGTGTGGCAACGAAGGGCCTTAGAAAGACAAACGCTTCCGTACCTGAAAATCACTCCACTCACCTGGGAAGAAAGGTTTGGACTTTTGTCTATGCTGGATTAAGTAAAAAGTAAAACATCGATCGCATTACGAAAAAAGATCAGGAAACCGCAACTGTTCCACAATAAACACCCATGTAACTCATGAGTATCAATGAGTCATCAGCTAACTGGTCTCCAACTCCTCCTGCTATGTCACAAGCCATGCTACTTCTCACCGATGACCAGCTAACAGAAGAACACTTACGGGAAGCGATGGCCGTCACGCGCTTGTCATCGTCTTTCCGACGGACCATACCTCGAGTTGACTGGTGAACGAACGGCGGAAAAGTCGTTTTAAATGGCTGGTGATGACAATAAATTTAGAGCAAGCTTCAGTTAACCTTTTCAAAAGGGCGAAAAAGCTCGGATATCAGGAAGTAAAATGGTGGTTTTTCGACGGCCCGTCGTTTGCCTGTCCACGCTGCTGTCAGTCGTCGGACAAAATGCTGAACAGAACGCACTCTTACAAGGCGATCGATTCTGTGGCTATCCCCTGAAGTCGTCCGAACGCCATGTATTTTTTTACACGTGCGATTTACGACGGCTTGAACGGCACCTACAACAGCGCCGCAGAGGCACCGGCAAACAAACCGGGCCGAAATGTGTGTCATTCATGAGACTCATCGCGACCGGTCAGCGCCGATGCCAACACAAACAACCTGCTGTTCAGAAGGTGTCTCGAACGGCCAATGGACCAAGGGCAACGGTGGCAGCGTCAGCGGCCCGCCCGGGGCAAACATTTGCTCAGCCTGAGCGGCTTGTGAGAAAAATACCACCGTAAAACCCGTCGTAAACACTCAAGCCGACACTTGTGAATCGAACAAACAGCTAAACGGTAAAACGACGAACCGTCGTTTACCGCAGACGGTCACAGCCACACGTCAGACATCTTGGTCGATCGGCAAGCCGTGGAGGAGAGTCACCAAACCTCAGAGTCACACAGTATTCGCAGCAGCACTGGGAGCTGCTGAAATCACCAGACCGTTTCGAAACGGCTTACAGTTTTCCTAATATCCAAGCACACGTCAGCAAGCTCTTTAGCGTTTGCAAGATTGTCCATTTTTTTAAAAATGATTCGTCAAAGGTTTACTGCCACAGTAAGAATATCACGTGAAACGAGCTGATCGGTCAAGAAAAAGATAAAAGAACCATCCCGCCAAGTGTCTGGGAAAAGTAGGGAGACTTCTAACCACTGAAATATTCATCTTTCCATATTCGACCATTGTTTATATATCCATTTAATGATTTGCTTACTCATTCACTGAAGCATTCATTCATTTTTCCGTTCATTCTTCCAGTCACTACTCTTTGCCGTTTGTAACCGGACAATACACAGTCGTAATTTTCAACATCGATGAACAAACAGTTCAATTTTAGCCTAACAGCTATCCATGGCAGAGCGCTCAACATGGCCGTAACTGCATAACTTCTCAATAAAACGATTATGGCATCAATCACCGAATCAAACAACTCCGTTACACATGGTCAACACGTCAGACAATATCGACAACCACCTATTAATTAAATATCATAGGCTATTGTGACTCATTGAATATACGTCCATGCGAATTCATGTCGTGAACGGTTCTTCAGTCAGAGCTCTGCGCGATCAACCAATCGATTCATCGTCGCACCGCCCACCTCTTAACGAACTGTTGGATTTCACTATGGACAATTATCAGAATTAAGAAAAATCCCGAACCGAGCATGCTCCGATATGGAGTTTTCAGTTCAGTCGCGTTTGGCGAGGTCAACCGCGAAACAGGCAATGTTCAAATGAGGAATGTGAGGCAAGAGGAAACGGGGTCGCCTAGCCGTGGATACGACGATGTCATTTCATCTTGATCTCTTGTCATAACGACACAACCATAGAAATGGGTTGTGAAAGGAGTTGACACTTCATATTGAAGCGGACCCCGATCACGAATAACGAGTCTTCCACAATTCACCCTCAGAGTTGCCGCCGCAGACAATGGACAAGAACTAAGGCAGAGGTTCGGGTGATAGAGCATATACCAGTATGTACCCATGAAACAGTCAATTTGCAAGTGCGCGGTGGTCGAGACTGATTGAATTGTCAGTATATTTTTGAAACAGTTTCATCTAGCAAATCGGCAGTGCTATTTAGGAGTATTTTCTACCTCCTGAAGGAAGAATGGCGACTCTTGAGTTAGGCTGAAAGAAAATTGCAGACAACACATAATCGGCAACATCAAAGAACCGAGTGCGAAGAATATCTGTTCTCCAGCGGTGGCATCGAGTTGCTAATCATCCAAACAGGCAGTGGCCACTTGCCAATGACAAATAACGAGACCATCGTCAGATCAGAGTGCAGACAGTTGAGACGAACTTCCATGAACACCTCATGCAGAGCAGAAATTAACAGGTTTTGCCTTCTGGAACAAAATCAGCCATTTACCTTTACGCTCAACGTTTTAAAGCGTACTTGTTGGCAGTAAACCCATTATAGATTCGCTAGTTGATTTCGTGCCAAAGGCAAAGCCTCTTTTCATTCATTTCCACTGCATCTGCAGCCGAGCATTGTCCCACCCACGACTTATAGTTTATTACCGTATACCAAACATTGCAGCAGAGCTCATCTCCTCTTCTCGAAACTAAACTTGCTTGATGTGCACATCGCAAAAAGGGACGACGACCGAGGAGTCGCAAGGCAGAGCTAAGCACAGGCATCGGTTGTCAAGACCTGTCACGGATCCCAGAACGGTGAGTGGCAAAACGATGGCGGCATAACCAGATTTTGAAAGCCATCAAAGCGAACAACAGCCTAACCACGTACCTGCAGGCCAGGACTTGCACGAGGTACTATCCGCATCAATCGTCAAACAAATATATATAACATAACCTGACCATAAAACAGGGCATAAGTCGGGCTCTTGAAACAAAACAACTGTGCACAGCTGGAGATGTAAAAAAACATCGTCTTTCCACTGATCAAATAGGGGCGCATGAATTAATTGCGAACATTCTTCTTATGGCCATCAATCGAAATGATGTAATTTCTGTAGCAATCAGTGGGAACTTAATTTTTGTGACAACGACAGCTCTCACTCTCCGCTTAGAAGGATGACATCACACGTGTTCAACTTAGGAAGTTCAGTAATGGCGGATTTCTCGGGCCTGGATTATGCAAATGGAGGAGATGTTGTTTCTGAACATTCAGCGTTTCTTGATGACATCAGCGATCGTACGCCGGCTGATCAGTTCTACTTGCCAGTGCTTCTCAAGCTCCTGTTCAGCCATTGGAAGGCATCATGAAAAGACGCCGTCATGGTTTCTTTCGTGAAGTAGTGGATACGGTGTGTTTTAACATACGAGTTCGTAGCCAGTGTCTGTCAGCTCCACTTACTAGAGCCTCATTGGTCAGCAGTTCGAGCATTCATGACACGAGTTCAAGTGCACCATCGAAGTTCCGATGTTTACACTGCACAGAGTTACTCCTTCGTGCGATCCGGCATTTGACACTGCCTGCTCCTCGTGACGGGAAGCCGACGTTACATGACACTAGCGAACTTTCAACTTTCATTTGGCCAAGCACTACACGACTAAGTAATCACTGCATCACAGATGTGAGCTGCAACTTAGAACCAAACAATTAAACATCCGCCATTGACTAAGCTAAGAGGTCTCAGGAGCAGTTGAGGTACGAAAGTACTTTTTTTACTGTAGCATTAGTTTGTTTTGTTTTATTTTAGACATGAAAAATGTTCGAATAGGGAATTCTGTACATTAATAATTAGTGAACCCATAATGCAGCGTCATTTAGCAAACGACAAATTGAATGATGAATCAGATTTCAGCATAAACGATTCGATTTCTGCTTTTAAAAATAATAATTCATAATTCATGTTTAAAGGTGAATATTCATAAGTAAGGACCTTGTATAATACAATAAATTTACGTAATACGTTCATTTATGAAAGCACTTTTAATCAGGATTAGGATATTACGGTGTTTTTGGAAATACTGTCCGCCGTATTTTACGCAAAGGCCACTGCCTGATCTACGCCGGGTACTTCAAAATCGACCATGACTATGCGATATACTGTAGTGGAAAAAGCCAGCAGCTAATGGTAAGTCAGTAATGAACAGAGAAGGGGTAAACGAAA